AGAGACTGGAATCATTACTTCGTACAAGGAATTTAAAAAAGGCGGTAATGGTTTTCTTAAAATTAAATGATAAAAACCTAAGATGAAACAAAAATTTATCCTTGAACAATTTGTTTGCAGTTTCTATGAGTAAATCATAAAATAAATTACTAGAATAATGAAGATTATTTTAAACATGTTCCATTCAGAAGAGCAGACGTGCTCTAAATAATCTAAAAATATTTCCGAATGTATAAAACTCGAAGCAAAATTTAGACCCCACGATTGCGGCAGAGCTTGTAGGGCCACTATTTACACCTCTGATTAAAATTACGTTTTCTAAACTTTTCTAGTGATTACTTTGCATATGTTTCCAAAATAATTACAACGTTGCTCTCTCATTGTCAAACGTTCAATAGTATTCCTTCACAATTATGATAAAAAAATCCTATTAGATAATTCTGATAGGAAAACATCCATCTCCTCATCTTCTGCATCGAAATGAAAGTTACCTAAACTTTTTTAATGTGACATTCATGTTTTCACTTATGTAACAAAATGTGAGTCGAATAGTGTTATTAATCTTAATTTTACTGAACATTTGAATTTTTGTATATTTATTGCAGTATTTGAAGGTGCATCTAACGCTGAAACTTGTTTGAACTATAGCCATAATCAATAACTCTGATATAAATATGCAAGATTCAAATCCAGCTTACTATAATGAATACATATGCTGCGAAAATTTCCCCTTATTTTCTAATGACGAAATATGAATGATTTTAAAGAAATTTCGAGAAAATTTAAAAAAAAAATCAAAATATGAAATATAAAATCTGAAAGCTATCAGAATTTACATTACGCCCAAAGGGCGTTTTCTTAACTTTTAGTGTGGTATCTTTATTTATTAAATATCATGTTCTTCGCACTTAAACCATAAAATTTAATTCAACAGCAATATCACAAAATAGTTTAAAAATAGCATATCTTTAGAATTTCCGATACACAGTCTTAAATGAGATTTATCTTAACAGAGATAAAAATGGGGTTTTTTTTTCCGCAGAGTGTTGCCATTGCTCGCTTTGAAATCGCTGAGTTTGTCAATCAAAAAATAGTTAAAGTTTTACAGAATATGAAATCGATAATAAAACAAATTCCAAATTCCATAAAACAAATTACAAATTCTAAATTTGAGCTAGGGTGGAAGATTACGTTATTGAAAATCTGATTGCTCTAGGTACCGTCGTTTTTGAACAATGCAAGAAACATATTTACATTCATGCAGATTCTTCATTATTTAATTTATTTAAATGTAATGTAGGGATCTTATATTCGGTGGCTACAATTTGAAAAGTGAAATGCCGTTTACAGTGAACCAATGTAAAATGAAAAAAAAAAAAAAAAAAAAAAATTAATAGCCTTTCTGGGCAAATCGCCCCTTTGGGCTAGTAATCGGATTAATTTTTAAAAAGTTCTGCAGGTTTTTTTTTTTTAAGAGTATACTACATCTATGAAGTTGAATTATCTTGATAAGATGCATTTTTAAAGCATACGAAATAATAGTGGAATTTTATTGCAGCAGCGCATAAGAGGAAAATGATCAGTACGTTTCTTTATTATCTGTGATATTAGTTTTTCCTATTTTTGATAAATGTTAAGGAGAAGCATTTATAAAAATAGTTCATTAATGCGAATTGCTCTTTGGCGGTCAGCAGCATAATTATGTTCTGACACGTATATAGATTAGGATTAGGTTGTTTGAAACTTTAAACAGTTTACTTTTTTTTAAAGTTTAAAAGTGTAATTAATGATCTTAATGAAAATAATAACGATGTTCTTTTCCTTTTTTTACATGCTTAAAAAAGTTTTCTGTAAATGCAAATCAAGTTATTCATTTTCCTTTCTATCTAGTTTAGCGTTCTAATTACATTCTAAAAGCAATGGGCATATTTATTTCAATTTTAAATATAATTAATCTTTCTTCGAAACTCGAATGTGTTTCTAATTTTCATCATTTTTATTTTCGTACCAATTGTAATAATTAGACTCTCAGACATCATTAATAAAGTAATTTTTTCAGCAGGATGTTGTCAAGCGAATGTAAATACGCATTCTTAAGCATCTAATTTGCAGGATTAGCGAGACTAATGTGAAAACCAGCTCTGATCATAAACGGAAAACTAAAATTCTCTGTAAAATCTTTAACCAAAATAAAAACACTTCTGATAGTTTATACTGTTTTTATTGTTAAGTTTAATAGCACTTGAGCAAGCAAGAAATTTTAATGAGCTTGTAATTGACATAGAATTCTTCATCATTCGGAAAAAGGATGTCTAAATTGTTTCGAAAATAAGTAAATTAAATTATTTTAAAATTCAAAACACGCAAGAACAAGTTCTATCTCTAGCAAGTTCATAGGCGGAATCTGAATAGATGATGATGTTAAGAAAATGGAGGGTATTTATAAATAGATCTTATTTATATATGAATAAAAATTTTGCTAATATAATTTTAGGACTATTTCCTTACTGAAATTTATGTTTGTTATTGTTTTTTACTAATACTCCTGATTTAAAAATAACAGATCCACGAAATAATTGTGGTTCAGGAGGGAAGAAGCGCTAGTTATCTTATTAGTGGCCTTACGGGTCTTCTCAGTTCCGTCTCAGTTTCTGCGCAAGTCTCTGAATGGTGGATCCAAGATCTCATATTCCTCTTCTCCTATACCTAGACACTTCTTTTGACTGTCAATTCTCTCATGCCGCCTTTTACGAACATCATTATAATCTCCGGATTTGGACCAGTGCCAGCGATATGGCTGTCTGTCCCATTAAAAACCGTAGCGAACAGGAGTGCATAATTCACATTTATTTTATCCGTACATTGGAGCTGGCTTGACGGAATGACACGATTTTGGCAGACAAAAATGCTTCAACAAACGGATCCTATTATTCAGGACTTTTCAATATCCCGCATAACAGAAAATCCATGTCGTTAAAATATTTTGTCGGGATATGAATGCACATATGAATTTACACATAAAGCCGCACGTGAGTTAACAGGAATAGTGAAGAAATGTGAAAAGAGAAAGTGATTAAAAAATAAATAAAAACAAACAAAGCTGTGTTATAGAATTTACTTAATTACTTAACTAATAAGCGATAGCTTTGTATATGCAATAATATATTATTCGAAAAATTACGTAGCATTAACATTTATGGCCTGGTAAAGCAATCAGTTATTTTAAATAGCTTTAGTTTAATAAATTTAGTTTACTAGTTTAAATAGCTTTAGTTTACTAGTGTGTTGTAACATGTAATAAAATCGACAATATTTTTACGCTCTTAAATTGAAAAATGATGCATCTAGTATTCAGTTCCGTTCACAAAAATATAGGAGGAACAGGTAGGCTTTTTATGATTACCAAATGTTTACATGAATTAACCGAGGAAGATAGAAATGTGAAATTTTTGTTATTGCATAATTCTATTCAGGTTTCTTTCGCTTTTTTACGACATAGTGATAGCGTCAAGGAGTAATTAAAAATGAAATGGCGTCGATGAAAGAAAAACGCTGAGCGTGTTTTGTGGTACTGTGAAATTAAATCATCGATCAAGAACGGCTTAGATGTTCTTGTCGTTGCAATCTTGCAGATGTTAAAACTATTAAAATGTTTTAACATCTGCAGGATTGCAGGATGTTAAAACAGAATTGCTATGAAGAGTTTTTAAAAAGACTAATAGTATTAGTGATACTTCAAGAAGAGGTAGGCCTATTTTGAGTAATAAGACTCTTGACTTACTAGTCATGAATCGGACAGAGCACATAACAAGGACCAAGTCTTGGTCACACCAGTTCGAAATTTTGATGCTTTGAATGCCTGAATAACGCATGTTATATCAAGTACTATAGACCAGATGTTGAAGGTTTTTTTTCAACATCTGCTCTGTAATACTGGTTCATCAAGAACTGGAATGCCGATCTGATTTTCTCCAAGTTGCAAAAGGGGCACATGTTGAAATTTAATAACATTGCATTGTTTATAGGAAATTTAATTACTGCAGGCTACCTTTTAAAAAATATATATGTTTAATGCAGTTTTCACTCGTTAATGTTTTACAATCAGAGAAAAACTTTTTGTTAAACATGTATTTGATCCAGTTGATCCTTATTCCCATTTGCATCAGCATCTTTTCATTTAACTTCAGTTTTTATAGATTTCCTACCAAATATCTCTCCAAACATTTGTAACTTATTATTATTAAAACATTCTTTATTACAAAAGTCAGACTTAGTGCTTCAGGTGTCTGAGTGAGATCCCTTCCTTAGTAATAGACACATCCACAGAAAAACCACAGTTAAAGAGGAAGAAAATATGCAGTCTGTCGAAATAACATTTCGTGATTTCTTCCAACACGTGAAATGCAATAAACAGCAATATTTTTATAATGTCACTAACTGTTAATAAATAGGTGGGAGAGTTAATTATTATTATCAGCTGCCAGGCACCCACTGGAGAACGATTTGTTTCCCCTCTAAAGTGAGAATTCTCAGAAATTCTTGATATTGCAAAATTTCAGGTGTTAATGGATGTTCAACAGAGCTAATTGATTGAATGTTTGCTTGAGAATCAGAAAAAATGACTTCCTTGCAAACTTGGGGTAATGAATAGCTAATAATTGCTGTAGGGCTATACCACTTCACCATCAAAGGAGGTACTTCACCATCTACTTCACCATCAAAGGAGGTAACAACTTATCCTGTAGGGGCGTAGAAATAAAAAAGATTCGAAAACACGGCAGCCCCAACCTCAAAATGATACTCAAACTGAGAACCATCAGTAAAAATGTGCAGCTATTGAATAGGTGGATATCTAGTTGCAATAGTCTCCAAAGCGAGACATTTCAAAACGCTTGATACAACATCTCTCTTTCTATGTGTGGTTTCCACTAGGTCTAGCCTTACTTCGACATTAATCACCTCCAAAGTGCTTCTTGTTGTCAAGAGAAGTTATATATTACCTGGAATTTCAAGATCTTTCTTTCTGTCCAAGATGTTTTGAATAAATCCATATTGAGTTTTTAATTTCCTAGGCTTGACTACATAGTCCCTCCAGTAGAGATCCTCCATCCGTAGTAGCTTTTCATAGAGAACCAAGGGTCTTATTTTCATAATATCCCGGAAGCCTATAAATTAAAAGTAGGTATAATAATAATTCTCTGCAACATCAGTGCACTTATGTACTTGTATGGAGAAGGTTATTCTTTAGGTTTTTAAACCTTATTACAAAGAGTTAAGAATAATTAATTCATTAACTGATACCTGATCTTTAAACAGATTTTTACAAGCATTGGCTTTTAGTTCGAATTACACTTTTAATCACTTGAAGGGCTGATTAAAATTATAAATCAAAGCTGTTGAAACAGAAAATTTTTATTTGTTTTTTTCATTTGTTTTTATTTGTTTTTTTTTTACGTACATAACACAAAATAAAAATAAAAAAAGCCTTTTTACGTACATAACACAAAATAAAAATTAAATTTATATTTTGTGTTATGTACGCACAGTATGTAATAGCACAGTATTACATATGAACATTCATATTACATAATTAAAGACTTATATATAAGGGGAATGATATGGTATGTAAACATATATATGTATATGGCAGCGCATTAAATGAATACTACATTTGGTGTATAAACTACAGATATATATGAGTGACATTATGCAACACTGATATTGGTATTCAATATCAATACCAACTCAAATCACATTTGGAAAAATATTTTGGTACAACTACCATGGCAACACATATTTACAGTACATGTAAAATAATTGGGCATTAAAAGAAATTTTTAAATTAGCACAGTTATTTTTAAATAAAGAAATTTTACGCTACATTATCGTAGTTTGTGAAATAAAGCGGGTAAAACAGTAAAGAAAGCGTAATTGCATAAAATTTCTCTAGGGAAATTTGAATTTGCTCTAATTACGTTTCAGTATTCTAAAAATCATATTTTTACAATATAAATGCAAATAAGAAGTTAAAATAATTTCAAAAATAATTCACGTGACCAGGAAAGGAAAGGTTTAAAAAAATACATTTAACCTTTAGGTTCTAGTTTTTAAAGCAATTCCACGACCAGGCAAGGGACAAGCAAAAATGGGAAACTAGTTACCATACATCGACAGCTCTTCTACGGTTAGGAGGGGACGAGAGAAACTTAAATTCATCGATACCATCGAGGGATACGAACTTTATTCAAATAGGGTTAACTCATAGGAAAAGAGGGGGGGGAACTTCTATATTTGACAGTACACTTAAAATATGCAGATCAAAAGCAGCCTTGCTTAAAATGAGCGCAGGACACATCAATTGTGGAGATATTAGCTCCTGCTTTATATGGAAATGGGAAAAATTTTAAAGTCTGCTTCACTACCTTTCTATTTCGCGAAGTCACTGAATTGGGAATAGATTTGGAATTTAATTTTAAAGTTCTCTTTCCTCGTCTCTGCTTGCTGGGAGTCTACATGGAATTTCTGCTTTTTATCGCAACTTGTGAACGCCGGGTCAAGTAAAAATACATTTTGAAATTAAGTTTGACGCGTGAATTGATAATATTCCAACTGTATTATAATAGTCACAATTGAATAAATTAAAATACATTTTTACTTCTGAAGGAGTGTAAAATTTATGTGAATTTTTAATTTTGAGGTGTTAGAAATTAATATGTAGTGTATTTTTGAATTTGATAACATTTTATTAGTGTAATTTATTTAATTTTTAAAAAAAAATGGCTAAAGGAAATGTTACACTCGCGTGGATTTATAGCCATCGCAATATCTTTGTAAATGGTCGGACAGACATTTTGGCTAGGAATTAATACGAAATGCTTAACTCTAACAATTCTTACCATTGTTAATTATCAGGAATATTGTTACCCCTAAAATCAAAGGAAATTAATCGACACATAAGGATTTAGCTACAGATAAGACATGAAGACAATCGCATATTATTACTAGACAAAAACAATCACATACCCAGTTTCTTAACTAAAACTGTAGGATTGATTGTTTGAAATTAATCGCTTTGCATGACTATTTTCAAAAATATAGGAAAAAAAGTACTAGACTAAACAAAGTTTTTTAACTCGTAGATACAGTAATACTGCTAGAAAGACAGTATCTCACTTCTAACATGATACTACATATTTCTGTAAACATTTAAATTAACTTAATTATATCATTGTTTTTGTACATCGATGTAATAGTGTGGTCTAATCGAATTTGTGGTCAAATGTTACTAAATGAATGTTAATTTTTTATTCATTATTATTGTTCTTTGAATTCAGACTCCAACAACGTTTTATAAAAAGAGCTTAAATAGAAAGCGAAATATGTCCAACTACGCTCTCAATTTTGAAAATATGCACATACATTAATTTTATTCTTAGAAACAGAAACTTCTCTTACACATTAAAATGATCTATCAAACAGCACAGTATACGATTTAAAATATTTTGGTATTTTTTCGCTAATGCCACCACTTGAAATTTTATCTGTAAAAAAAAAGTTGAGCGAATATTGCCACTTGTAGTAGCCATCAGTATTACATACTTTTTTTCTGTTTTATGTTAATCCGTCTGTAGTTATTTTTGATCGAGATTAAAAGAAATGTTTTTCTTGAAGCAATATTTTTGTTCATGACTAAAAATAACAGCATGAGATGATAGACAGTATTGAAAATTTGAGATATACTGTAACAAAAGAACAGCCTGGAACATTTCTCTACGAAAATTATGATTTTGTCAAATCGTAAGATTTGTAAGTAACAATATTATGCAGTTGTACTTTGGAAAATATTTTAAAAATACAATATTGAATCATATATTCAATGGACTGTGATAAGAAAAAAAAACTAATTTAAATACAATGACATTCAAAATTTTGCTTGCTGTACAATTGCTTCTTTTAAATGTTAAATCCTTCTAGAATATAATATTGCCCACTGAATATTTATTTATGAAAATTTTCGTACAAATTTTCATAAATAAATATTCATAAATAATATATATGAAAATTTTCGTACAAATTTTACATGCAATAAAGCCTTGTGCCTTAATTTTTTTTATTTGCCTATCTATTATCTATAGATATATTCTAATATCAAACTCAATACGTTTGTTTACATTCACTATCAAAGCTTTTATTCTTGACCTACCACTTCAAGTATATCCAATTTTAAAATAAAAAAAAAATTAAACTATAAAAAGTTTATTATAGCCAAATCGTTATAAGTAAGTAAAATCTGAAAAGTATGATAATTTCCGAAAATGCAGAAAATTGTGCTATCTTACTTAAAAAGGAATGTCAATCTATAAGAAGAGAAATTTTCTTTACAACTGGAATATTTATGTAATACAGGATTAGCTTAGGAGTTGATTCAATGGAAAGTTTATGTTAATAGAAAAGTGTTTCATAAAGATAGTTAAAATTTTTTTAACTAAATTCAGTTACTTTATTAATGTAATAACTTAATGAAGTTTAATAACTATCAATTAATATAATTAAATAAATTATTAGACATTAAATATAATGAAATTTATTATAATTTTACTTACATAATTAATTTTTAAAATAATGAAAAAATATAATAAAGGAAAGAAATTCCTTTTTACTTGAACAGTTCTTAGAATACTCCTAAAAAGAATTTAGAATCCTTTGATAAATCATTTACCAACTGAGTCATTTTCGAACACCGAGAGAGCAAAAAAAAAGTTAAAAAACACATCTTTACTTATGTATAAATATTTTCCCATATTTTTACGCATTAATTAATCTTTATTTTGTACCTTTTCTGCAGTATTTAAGTGACATAAGTGTTCAATTTAAAAAAATAAAGGGTATTATATGTTTAACATTTTTTAACACCCTGAGCGGAATTTCTTCGAAACACTAGAACATTAGAATATTAGGAATTAGATACTAAAACGCATTTAATTTTCATTTTGCAGACTTAATGCCGTGGTATTGTTAACTGAAAGAAATTTTGGTTGCAAACCTCTAGCACAAGCGGTTGAAGTACATTTAATATTTATGGTAAACTAATACTTTAACTTGGATCTCTATCATGATTGCTCAGTTTGAAATTAGTTCAGATGTTACACTAAAATCTGTATCCCAAGATCAATTTGCAGTGTTTTTCCACCTTAAGATTTTTAAATTGTTAAATTAAATTTTTTTAAACTTTTTGAAACTTTAATGGGACAATTTTCGAATTGTTAGACGAAATGATGATGACATCAGATTTGGAAAGAACTTAATACAATGTTCGATGACGGTGTATAATTGCAACAATTATGGCTTCTCGATCCAAAGATAAGGTTTGTTTGGTTTCGTTTATTTAATTATACCAAAGCACGTGAGGGTTTAAGGAAAGGGATACTTTCGTGGAGGACTTTCTAAGGACAACTGGCTCATACACACGTTACACATAGGAAAAACCATGAAAACACGCATTAAAAATATATTAATAAATTACCTCACAGCATGCGTGCGGGAGTAACAAAAGAACATAAAAAAATTGATTTATGTCTAAAAGTTCTTTAAATTATTCTCTCCATTGTTTTAAGAAATTTATAACACAGATATTTATCAGCATTCAGTTTTTCTCAGTTTTTGTGTAAGATTATGCCTTCTATTCACTTACACCATCAATGGAAGAATTCCATTAAAATAACCGGGAAACATATCACATGGCACTGACAGCGTTCCCACTTCTGAACCAACGGCGAGGGTTTTAGAGCAAGGCCATTAATCATTCCATCTTAGGTTTCTCTATTATTAATTAATTTGTCCGTTCCCGGGCTTCTTTCTGCTCCGCCGTTTAGTTAGCTTTGGTAAAGGATCGAACATTCCTCTTACCCTAATGACTTTGGATAGAAGAGGCGCAAAGTGATGCTGGTTAATTCCCTAGTTTTGAGACGCCGTCGTCAGGATAATAAAGGTTCTGACCGCCGTATAGGGTCATCATTGGAATGATTGAAGTGAAAGGAAATTATGAGGCTGTAAGCTCACAAGTTTTAGAAAAACTGGTGATAGTTCACACAAATAATATGGAAAGT